ATGAGATGGAAGGAAAAGCAAATGATACATAAATGCCTATCTATGTTCTTGAAACTCTGAATAGTGCCTGTGTAGTGGAGTGGTGAAGTAAAAAACTCTCTGGTCAGCTTTGCATGATGTGAAATTCGTCTTTGTAATGAACTAGCATGGCCAAATGCTATTGAAGACAGATACTGGTGCAAAAATCAGGGTGGCTTAGGAACTGGAGACCCTGTTCATGAGGCCACAGAAAGTTTTCGATGGAGCTTGTCCCTCTGCACTTCATGCTTAACAAATTCGCAAGAAGTGGTGGTGGTCAGGACTCTTCATAAAGAAGCCCTGAACTTGTAACTTTCTCCTCATGTGGGAGCTGTGGAGATGGACAAGGAGATGGTTCCTGTCTGGGACCAGCCTGGTTTAACAAGCCAGGGCTCTGCTGGGAGATTCCTGCTTGGCAGGGGAGGCTGGTTGGACACGGCAGAACAGGCATTCCAGACCGAAGTGACCCATCTTGAAACAAACACAAATGCACTCAAAAACTGGGAGGAATAGGAATAACAGAGGTAGGTTTAAGGTTGAGAGATGAAGGACTGAGCCATTACCATGCTTTCTGCAGCTGTGTGCAATGGTGGCTGTAGTGCCTGAAATCAGACCAATATCTTAACATACAAAATTAGGGTTTTTTTAAAAATCACTTCCAGTTTATCTCTGTGTACAAGTTGTTTATATCTTGTTGACGGTAACTCACTCCTCTTCAAAGCAGTGTAAGTACTGAGCTGTTTAAAAGCTAGCAATCATCCTTTCTTGGTAACACTGCGCATATACTAAACTTTCCAACTATTGGGTAACAGTGGAAAGAGTTGTTAGATAAAAAGGGAGAGCCAACATTCAGGACGTACCAGAAAACCTGGAGGAAGATGAAATATTTCCCAGATCTGTTGTGTGGAAGAAGCCACTCCTGAATTCACCTGCATTCAGACCATGATAGGAGAAGATACTGAAGCTGAAGGCTTTGGGATGTAAGAAGCTTAGGTGGGGAGTTATGAACACCTGTGAGGGGGAGAGAAGCCTACTGACAGATTTGAGTGTTTTAATTATGTTTAATATATATTTAATTATGCTGCCAAGTGTGCATCATCTGAAAAACAATACCCAGCATCTGACCTTCCCATTGCAACCAGAGTGGTCTCATTGCTTGGAAAAAACAATTGCTGTGTGCCCAGCCAGCTTCTTGAATGACTGTTAACAGGTTTGGTTGAGTATTTATTCAGTCCTGCTGGAGAGAGTTGGTTAAATGCCTGAAGTGAAGCTGCTTGCTTTGAGCTCACATGTCAGCTGAAATAAGACTTTTAAATTAGTAGCCCAGATGGCACTGACATGGAAACATCAACATCTCAGACTTGGAGAGGTCCCTGAATGTTTGTTCCGGGCCGAGTTTCCCTGGGTACACAAGGCTGCCCAGTGTCTGCCACGTGGGCTCAGGGGATCTGAGCTTTTTGAGCTTAATGCATGAGACCAGCAATGCTGTGAGGCTCTGCTGTTTACTTTTAGTCTGTTTAGCTGTGCTTGCTGCTGTTTTGGTTACAGCTATTCACAGAAGTGCAGTCTGGTGTGCAAACTTCCTGATGTCTTTAAAGAAACTGCAGAATCAATCTTGCAGCTGCAAGAAGGAATTTTTTTGGGTTATACGTTATTGCTGTTGAAGTCAGGCTTCAAAATAAACTCTTGGAGGTGTCTCATAGGAAGTGCAGCCAGTACAGATACCTAAAAATCTATGTGCAGTTCATTATTTCTTCCTCAATTCACTTCAAAGTGTTCTTCAGGCTCTCTGGGATAGGTCTTTTCTCCAACTTAGATTTTAAATATGAGTATTTTTTCAGCTTATATTTTGCCTCTGATCTTGAACCAAACTAATTTCTCTTCTTCCTCTTGGGAAGAGGGCAGCAGCTTGGTTTGGCTCTCTGAAAACTAAGTCCTGCCTAAGCTAGTTCTTTCCTGTAGGAGGATCTCCATTCTTAGCAGTTTTTTGTGCTTGGGACTGAGATATAACTTCTCCCCGCTCTACCAAAAGCTTTTCTAGACCCAGATTAAACACTCAATATTAATATAACTTCGCTTTTGTACCAGGCGTTCTGTAAATGCAGGCTGGAGGCATCGTGTCCTCTTTGTTGACATAACTATTTCCATAATAAATTTCAGCCAAAAACTTAAACTATGTATTATGGGGGTGATTTGAAGAGCTGAGCCTAGTGAGAGCTGAGTATTCTGCCTAGTGTGTCAGAGGGTTAGTGTTTTGAACACCAGCTTGAGGCTGAGGTCAACTAGAGATTGATATCCTGAAGACTTTTCATCATCTGTCATGAAACGATGCAGAATTATCAGTGTAGATAGGACGTGGAACAGTCGTCTTCCCCTGCCTTTCTCAGAACTCTGTGCCTGACTGGAATAGTTATCTGGAAATTATATAGCAGCTTAAACTAGGCTCTGCAGTTAGATACAGGTATAACTAGTACTTCAGTGTGGTGTACAGGACTTGGTGTGGTGCTGTTCAGTGAGGCAGGGGGAGTTAAGGAGTCCTTGGTGTGCTTGCCATGGACATAGCATCCCCCATACAGCTGAATGTGTGACACTGTCATCTGTTTTGTTCAGAAAATTTAGCATTAGGGTTAAGAACTGGATTTGCATAACAAATTGCAGGGGGGCCTGTTTTGGGTTTTTATTTATTTATTCTTTAGATACATTTCTTTGGGTTAGTGACAGTATTTACTTTGCCTATTAAGAAGTCTAAGTTGTGGGATGTCCTTCCTGTAAGTTCTCAATTTAAGAAGTGGGCAGCCTACCCTGAAGAGGGACAGTTTTTTTGGTCCAACATCTTTCTAAAGCCCACATTTATGTAAATGAATTCGCCTATACACCTTCCTCCTTCTCAGTTAACTTTGTAAAAAATTTAAAGGTCATAGGCAAAGAAATGCCTAGCTTGTATTTTTGTTTGGCTTTCTGAAGCATTAGATTCAGATTTAACTATCACTAAGTTTTCAGCTTCAGTGTTATGAAAGCTTGTTGAAAGCTTGTTGGTATTCTGTATAGCAGGTCAGCTGTTTTCCATCCTACACATTGTACATCCTTTTGGATTTCTTTTCCTTGCAATGTACTTAAGCTGTTTCTTTCAGGATATGCAAATGCACTTGTTGTTACTGAACTGCATAGAAGTTGAATATACTGAAATCCATGATGGAAACATTAATAACAGGGATGCCACTTTGGCTCAAAGATGAATTTATATCCTCAGATGAAATTATCTCCCTTTTTATCTAACAACTGTTGCCTGGTTAAGCTACACAGTGGCCATAACAGGGCCAGGCCAAGAAGGGGCTGCTCTGTAACCGGTGCTGAAAAGTGTTTTTATGCTTTTCCCATGCTCAGAGCACTGCATGACTTTATTTCACTTATTAAGTATCTGCTAGAGATTGTGCTCCAAAACAGAGACCAACCTGCCTTAATAGCGTGTTGGGGGTAGAGGTGAGGCAAACATCCTGTACCTGGTTTCCCAAGAGGTCTCCATGTTATAATTTGAAACAAAACAACAAACACAAAAAATACCCAAACAAAATAAGTCCTGCAGCAGTGGCCTTGGGGGCAGAGTTGGATTGTTTTGACAAGGCTTCACATGTGTCATGGTGAAAATGAAAGGCTGTCATCCTGAGTCTGCAGGGGGCTGTCACCAGTGAAGTAGAAAATTTAGGGACTTGTGCTGTATTGCGGTATAGGCAAAAAGAGAAATGTCTGACTTCAACTAGGTTTGTGCAGATGCACTGTGTAAATGACAATGAAACATTGTTTTATTTGACTTCAAAGAAGTGTCACTCCTGTCTGTGCCCTCATAATATACTTCTTGAGGTGTAATGTGTCAAGGGTAGATGTGCTCAAAATAGCCCAGTCTCCTTTGGTTTGGGCCAGGTGGAGCTGCCTGGGTTTTCAAAAAAGCAGGGTTTTCAAATTGCAGCTCAAATTCTGCTTTGTGGTTGTCTGGCACTGTCCCTGTCCATCACTACATGGGACAGGCTGTATTGCACCAACATTAACTTTTGCTTGCTTGTAAGTGCATCTGGTAAGAATCTCTAATAGTTTTGGGGGGTTGAGGCTTTTTTTGCCAAGGTATTTGGTAAAGGTAAAAGTCTGCTTAATATCGGGATTCAGAATTTGTTTAAACTGCCCACTGGGTTTCCAAATAGGGAGAAGAGGTGGCAACCAAACCACCAAAGAAACCTTAAACCCTTAACTTCTCTTGGAGTGTCAAGCCACACTTGCCTCCTGCAAGGCAGCATTGCCATCAGCATAGAGCTGCTGCCTGGGAGAGAGGGAAGCCATGTGCCTAAGAACAAAACTAGAGGTTCAGATGATTTGTGCCAGCATCAGGAAACACTCAAGAACATTCCTTAACATTTTTTTACTTAAAAGTACAAGTTCACTTTCCCTGTCAGGCTCCTGGCTCTCCCCATGACAGCTTCGTGCTGTAGCTGGTGGCGAGAGGTGCAAGGTGAACCTGGGGGTGACTTGTGTCGCCTGTTTCAAGGGCTTGGGTGGCATTTGGGTTTTCTTCCTGCAGGTCTCTGCTGCAGATAGTCAAATCCTGTCTAAATTTTGGATTAAGCATAAATAGTTCCTGTTGATGGCTGATGTGGAGCTCCTTTGGAAGGAATTGTACTTCAGTGACTTCAGAACTGCTTGAGGGATTATTAGGTTGATGGGAAAGACTTAATTGTTGGGTGGGCTGTTAGCCTGCTTTGTAGGACAGTGGTTTTACTTGCATAACTTAAATCAGTCCAACAAGCTGCTCTGGTAATATTAACAGTTGGACTGAGGGGAGAAAGATGTCTCAACTCCTTCATTATTTCATTTGGTTTATTCTGTGCTGCAGTGGCAAACTTTAACAAAGGCAGCTCTGTCCCCTGAAGCGGTGTAAAAGAAAGTGGAGATGCTGCATTTTGCTACTTTCAAGTGTTTTAGCACAGCTAAAGTACATGCTATTAAAAGACGATTAAACAAATCTGCGCAAACACCAGCTGGTTTGATGGTAATCAAATGCTCCAGCGTGGTTTGAACTTGCGGCGTAGGTAGGCTGGCGATGGCAGAGCTCCTGGGAGCCACACGCCCTTGGAGTGTGGGAGGAGGCTGCGAGTGACGCCTCATCCCGAAGCTCTGCGGCTCTGCCGGGCCCGGCACCCGGGATGCCGCAGCCAGGAGAGCCAGTGTGCCATGCTGTGCGAAGGCTCAAGACGGGCACAGACCCGTGTTGGGGGTTTGCGTGTGTTGTGCAAATGACACTTTATTCAGTTGTGTGCCTTCTGCGGCCTGATGAGCCTTTGGTGAACTAGGGAACCAGCTGATTCCTCCTCAGCGTGTTGGAAGACCAACAGCTCGGCGCGTTCTTGGAGTGCCAAAGTCAGCTTAGTGAGGCAACAGGCACACTACTGGTCTGAAAATAGAAGTCAGGGCTGTTAACTGTGCAACTGAAATGTCTTAAAAATGTGGTGAGCAGGGAACATAATTTAATGAAACTGAACATTATTGCATGACTGTTTCTCTAAGTACCTGTTCGCCCTAGCAAAAAAGAGGTTGACTACAGTTTCCTGAGTAGGAAATACAGTGTAGTAGTTACAGTACAGTGTTTAAGATTTGGGCTTGGTTCTCTATAATCAGTTGCTGAGAGGTCTTGAACAAACTTGCTGCTGCTTGTGCTTCATTTCCTAGGAGATCACGGGTGTCCTGATACTGAATTCTGTCAGGTGTTAGACCTGCAGATAGACCTGTTTTGAATGTTAACTTCACTCTGTACTCATTAGGTCCTGTATTTTATTAAATGGAAAATTGCAGGTTGAAATCCAAACTAAACTTTGCATTTTAAAATCTAAAAGTTTTCCTCTACATTCCCATTATGGAGAACGCCAATTATGCAGCTAACTCTTATTGTTCTAGGCAGGTGTAAATTCCCACGACAGAAGGTCTGTTTGCATATGCACACATGCTTTTGTTCACTGCGGAAAATGATCTATAAAGTGTACTGTGCATCACATCTTAGTGGGTGAGGACTGTACCACATCACTTCTTACCACTAACTTACCCTAAAGGGCAGTCTAAATAGAATGCCAAGGCTCATTTTATTGAAACACAAAACTAACAACTTGTGTGTGGTGGGAGGTAATCTCCCAGTTTGGTGGCTTTTGCCCTGTTACGTAGGCAGTGATATTTAGCCCCACTTCATGATTATCTCTGCATCTGGAAACCCCTAGGCCTAAAATACCAGTAGTGGTAAGTAAAATGCAAGTGTGAGCCTCACTGCCAGAGCTCTGTGAATGGTGTGTGGCACATGTGCAAGACTTGCCTGGTCTTTAGGTAAATAAGAATTTACGTTAAAAATAAAAATACTGTAGTTGTGAAAACTGACTTAACTTTCCCCTCTTGTTTTCTTACAGGTATCTCCAACTAGGAATCATGAACTGGCACTTCTCCCTCCTCTTTGTTCTTGGGACTTTAATGTCTGTATGTTCCCAGTTCAGTTTTTATCCTCTGGAGGAGCTTAGCTCTGATGTTGGAATCCAGGTCTTCAATCAAATAGTGAAAGCGAAGCCTCAGGACAATGTTGTTGTTTCTCCTCATGGGATTGCGTCAGTCCTGGGGGTGTTGCAATTGGGAGCTGATGGCAAGACCAAGAAGCAGCTGACAACTATGATGAGATACAGTGTAAATGGTCAGTGGTTCCTAAGGTGGTTTTGGGTGTGTTATGTCAGACTCTTCATGCTGTATGAGATGGCTTTCCAAGTGTGGTAGATTGCATCATGCACCAATTAACTGTGTTTACCAAAGCACAAAATGGACAGACTTGAAGCTAATTGGCAGTTTGAGTATGGACATATACATATACTCCAACTGGCTTATAAGCAGCTTGGTTAATGACTTCAGGGCCCCAGCTAGAACTGCCTTTGTCCTTGCAAAATTGATTTTTCAGAGCAATGTGGGAGGTGGTCCAGTGCCAGCACCGTGCAGGAAGGCTGCAGTACCCCATTTCAGGCTGTACTGAACAGCCTTTAATGTGCCACTCCTTAGATAAGGGGGCAAGAGAATATTTATTGGCACCATACTGAAAGCAATGCAAACTAACCATACTATTGATACTTTCACTTTGCTCTTCAGCTTTTTTCACGTGTTTCTACTGTCAGGATCCCTGTATCTTGTAGTGCCCTCTTCAGCCATTTCTGCTTGCCTCTGTGCCTGACACTGCATGCATCTGTGTTTGTGTTCTCTGCCAATGTCTGCCCCTTGAGAGTGTGTGGCCTGAAGGTTGTTACTGCTTTAATTTGCACGCTATTTCTGTGAGTGTTTGCCAGCAAGACTTAACGTTTTAGTGCCAGCATTCTCCCTTACTTCCAAGAATAGGAAACCCTCTAAGAGGTAAGTGCACATTTAAATCTTGAGCAGTATTGTCATACGACATGCTGTTCTGTCTTCATTTGCTTTGCTGTTTTGGTCCTGGGTTTAAAGTACAGCAAAATTATTTGACAGTTTAAGATCGAAATGATGTAGATTGAAATCTCTTCATTGGATGGTCAACTTTAGGAACATTTGAATGCTCAAAGTAGAAGTACTTTGAAAAATTTTCAAGCATTATATCAACTTGTTTTATTTGGCCCACGGTCCTAATGCCGTGAGACACAGAGGTTCTCAAACACTTTAGAAGGTAGCCAGTACCTTGTTAGAGACTTGTTATGGGATGGGGAGATAGCTATCTCATTGCACAGATTTCCTCTGCTCTTGTTCATGACTGCCTTGCAGTTCTTTGGCAACTGCAGCAACTGCTTCTTTGGAAAGGTAATAGTTGAAAAGTATTTAATTTGTCTTTAGCTGTCTTTTAATGCAATTTAGCAGCTGGAAGCAAAGAGGAGAGCCAGCATCATGAGACCAGACAGCTCTCCCCGGACCATCAGCAAGTGATCCGTGGACCACCAGTGGTCCACAGAATACAGTTTGAGAACCTCTGTTATGGTATGTTCTCCAAAAGAATTTACCCATAGTATTGGAGAGTGAACATTTAGAAATTCATACAACTGTACTGTTAAAGCATTCATGATACATGAAACAGCAAAGCCATCTGAGGCTTTTTTCTTGTATGCAGCTAAGAGAATAACTCTGAACTAATTTATTCACTTCATATCTCTTAAGTTTGTCTACATCAGGAAGTAGTCTGGAAATGTTTCTGCCCAAGTTGTATTGGGAAACAGAGGGAACTCATTAATAACTCTGAAAAACAGCCACCCAAGGATTCTGTTCAATATAATGGTTGAACATGAAGTTGCTTGCCTGGCAAGAGCTTCCCTGTGTAGACAAGCACTCCTTCATAAGCCATAACACTGGGGAGAACTGGGTATGGTGAACATAGCAGTTCTTCTGTGGTGCCATATGCCTTCTCTCACACACAGTGAAGGAGCTAGCAAGCACTTGATACAATCTGCTTTCAGGTCCTGAGGATCTTGACTGTAACACCAGAATCTGCTACTTTCCCTTTTTCCTTTTTTTAGAGACAAGCTCATGTGTTAAGGGATTGATTCCTGCTTGTAGCTGATTTAGGCTGGGACCTAGTCTTGAGGGAAACCAAGACTTGACTTGCAGTTTATTAAAGAAATCTTGACAGTTTACTTTATTCTAGAATAAACGGAAAGGAAGTACGTCAAAAACAATTTTTGCTTTACACTCTGCAGTTCAGAACCACTTGTTGTGCAAATCCTGCAGAGCTCTGACTGAGCAGCCTGACCCCTCGACTTTCTTTGTCACCGTCGCAGAACTGACAAGTTATCTGGGCTTATATGATATGAAATGTGTTTTGGAACAGTCTGTTCTGTGGAAGAGTGTGGTTAGTAGCTCCACAGTAAGACTTGAACCTCAGTGTTATCCCCAGCACTGTCTGTTGCATTCTGAGCAGACACCTAGAGGGGCAGCAGGAATCACAGCAGAGGTCATGTTTTTGCTGGGAAATAGTAGCAATCTTCAGATGAGAGATCAGAAATGGTTGTTTTGGAAGTCCTCTGAGAATGCCTGCTATGATCTCCTTTTCTAGTCCAGCACTTAATGTCTTACCTTTCATGTCATTAATAGTTTGCATATAAAGTAACTGTTCATCAATCTTATTCTAAATTAAACTTGCTGTTCTTTCCAACTAGGAGTTGGTAAAGCCTTAAAGAAGATAAACAGGCTCATAGTCTCAAAAAAGAATAAAGACATTGTAACAATTGCTAATGCAGTGTTTGCAAAGAGTGGCTTTAAAATGGAAGTGCCTTTTGTTACAAGGAACAAAGAGGTGTTTCAGTGCAGTGTCAAGAGTGTGGACTTTGAGGACCCAAATGCAGCGTGTGATTCCATCAACCAGTGGGTGAAAAATGAAACAAGGGGTGAGTATTGGTGAGTGCCTCTGTGTGTGGCAGGGTGGTATCTGAGACCTCAGATTCAAATGGAAATACTGGGGAAAGATGGGGAGGTGGAGAAGGCTCTGCCCTGCAGCTAAAACCATCTTTTAGCTGGCATTACTGTGGTATTTTAGAGCTGGTGGGCCAGGAATCAGCATCTCGCTGCCCCAGCAGATGAACCTATGTGATGGCCTGGAAGGGATGTGTGCAGTGTGTGTGCCTGTGTCCATCTGCCCATGGGATCAGAGGAGCTTCTGCTTTACTTTACATTCATACAACTGGTGAGAAATGCAAGCAGAGTTTGGAGCATGCTTTCTCTTTCAGCTGTGCTTTCTCAAACATAAAAGATACTTTCAGGCAAGTCAGATGTTTTACTCAGTAAATCAGACTTACAGAAAGATGTAGGGCAGTTCAGCTTTTGCTCTGACTGCCCTGAACTCTTGTAAAATATGACCCTGTTCTTATGACTCAGATTTAGTGGAGGACTTCTGCCTTGACAGAACTCCTCGTGATTCAAACCTTTTGGCATCTAGTTGTCAAGATTACATGTGCTAAAGCCAAAGATCACGTTTTGCAACATTTCCCAATCTAGGTGAACTACCTGGTTTGGTACCTCTTGGAGTTAAAACCAGTGCCTCCTGGATGTGAGGAGTGTGTTAATGATGTTGGATGTGGTATGTGTGAAAGGAGGCTGTCAAATTCTTTCTCAACCACATCACCAGTTTTGCATAGCAA